TTCCAAGATTATCTTAGGTTTCTGCTAAAAGGTTTATGATGTTATCTTTTATATTTAAGTCTATGATCTATTCTGTATTAATTTTTGTGTATGGTGTGAAATAGGGTATTGAGGATTTTTGTATTTGTTTTTGTTTTGTACGTGAGCATCCAACTATTCTAGCACCATGTATTGAAAAGACTTTCTTTCCCCATTGGGATTTCTTTAGTGTTGTTGTCAAAAATCAAATGACTATGGATGTGTGGGTACATTTTTGAATTTTGTCTTCTATTGTTTGATTTGTCTATGCCTATGCCATACCACACTGTCTTGATACCTGTAGCTTCATATAACTTTGAGAACAGTTAGAGTAAATCCTTAAACTTTGTTGCTGTTGTTCAAATTGCTTTACCTATTCTGTGTCCTTTGTATTTTCATATAACTTTTAGAATCTACTTGCCAATTTTAAATGTATTATTATTTGGAGATTGTCCACAAACTTATACACAAAGTTTAAAAAATTGTCACAGTGTATACCTTGTTATAATAATGTTAGTTGACTTTTTAAAGTTGTTAAAAGTATATAAGCTATTAATTAAGTTTTAATAATATCAAGTCTTTGCAATCTTAATAATATTGAGTCTTTTGATCCATGAACACGGTATATATTTCCATTTGTCAGGTCTTCTTTTTTTATCAGCAGTGTTTTTTAGTTTTTAGTGTAGATAGCTTATGTATCTTTTGTTAAATTCATTCTTAAGCACTTTTTATTTATTTATTTTTTTGGTACTATTGTAAATAAAATAATGTTTTAAAATTTCATTTTCTATTTTTTGGCAGCTAACATATGGAATTGATAGATATGTTAATTAGCTTGATTTAATCATCCCATAATGTCAAACATTCATCAGAGCATCACGTTTCCCAATAAATATATACAATTATTATTTGTCAATTAAAAATAAAATTAAGAAAACTTGTAAACTCAAAAAATTCTAAATATTCTGATTTGATCATGACACATTCTATGCATGCATCAAAATATCACATGTACTCCATAAATATGTACAAACATTACATATCCGTAAAAATAAAACTTTTAAAAAGTACAGGTGATTTTTGTATATTGACTTTGTGTGCTTTGACTTTGCTAAAATTCACTTGTTAGTTACAGTAGTTCTGTAGATTCTTAAGGATTTTCCAGGTCATCTGCAAATAGAGATATCCTCTTTTTTTTTTTTATTTCTTTCCATTGCTTTATTACAGTGGCTGAGACCTCTAGTAAAATATGACTATAAGTGGTAAAAATGGGAATGTTTTGTTCCTGATCTTAGGTGGAAATAGCCAGTATTTTACCATGAAATATAATTTTGGCTCTAGGTTTTTCATAGCTGCTCTTTGTCAGATTTAGGGGATTCTTTTCTATTTTTATTAATAGTTTGCAGAACAGTTTGTGTCATCAATAAGTGTTAAAATTTGTTGAGTGCTTTTTCTTTGTCTATTGAAATAATCCTATGGTTTTCCTCCTATATACTGTTAAATGTGATGAATTACATTAATTTTAAAATATTAAACCAACCTTGCATTCTTGGGATAAACCCTAGTTGGTCATGATGAATTATTCTTTTAACATATTGCTAAATGCAATTTACTCAAATTTGGGGAAGATTTTTGCATCTGTGTTCGTCTATTATTTTATTCTGATATTGAGGTAATGCTGGCCTTGTCTATCAAGTTGGGAAGGGCCATGAAAGTGTTTTGTGTGAATGACAGTCAGAAACAAAAAAGAAGTCACATGTTGACCTGTGAGCTGGAAATGAATTAATAGTTTTTGCCCCTCTGAATACTCCAGGCTGTCCATTCTGGATTTTATCACAGGCTCTGAAATAATGGTAAGGAGATGGTGCTCTGGCAAGGGTTATCTGTCTATGAAAACGGAATCAGCAGAAAGTGAGTCTAAGTCACCCCCCATTGCTAAAGAAGTAAACTTTGAGCAATTGGTTTGGACATAAAATGGTTCACTCTGTTCCCACAATCATATTTCATGGTATTTCCTTTCAAGGCTTTTCCTTTAAAATATTGCTTTTCTTTTTTCATAACATTAAGAAAAATGTAATTAATAGCTTATATAGTTTTAACAACTTTGAAGGCCAGCTAATATTATTATAACAAAGAAGGTATACACTAGGCCAATTTTCTAAAGCTTGTGGAGAAGCTTGTGGACTACTTTCAGAGAAAAAGAAATTTCCTGGATGTCATGTGTTGACTTTTATTATTTTGATTATAAAGTTACTTAAAATTTATACGTAAAACTATAAGTGCTTATTCTTTGCTTTTACACAACAATAAAAGCCACACACACACAAATTATGAAGAAAACTTTGTAAATAAAGAAATGCAGGCTAATACAAATTTAGTGTGAGGGGTGGTATTGTTTTGCTGAAACTTAATTGGTGCTTACAATCTGAATGTAAGTTGCAGCATGTGATCTTTTGAGTTTGGCAGCCTGTGTTACTGGGTGCCATGTGATGTCATTTTTCAGCCATTTTTCTGTGTTTGAACTTACATGATCTATTTGTTCATATATCATTGGCTACATCATGTAAGTATTACTTCACCTCTGTGCATTTTTTCTTTTTAGCTTGAGGTCATAAAGTACCATCTGACATCAATGCAAATGTGAATGCAGATAGTGAAACCATGTACCAGTATCCAGCCTTAAGAGCCTAATACAGATGATCCAGAATATGGTCATATTAATTTATTTTAGATTATCATCAAAAATGCATAATTTAGAAATCTAGAGAACTGTAGGGCTTCAAGAATATAAATCACTGCCCTTGGGTCCAACAGCACATATTAGAAGTCTCAAGAGGAGAAGACTAGAAGTGTCACCAAGGCCCGGAGGCCCTGTTGGCCATGTCAGGGCACATAGTGAATATTTCACTCCTTGAGTCCTGAGGAGCCTGAGTGTGGGAACAGAAGAGCCAGAGAGAAGCAGGCTTGGGAAGAGCATGATGGAGAAACAGTACCAGGTGTGCTTATTAAAACAGCAGGGATGGATGTGCAGCTGCTAACTCCTTGCACTGCTCACCCAAGAAGGGCTGAATGTCTTGTTCATTGCCTTCCGCAGTAAATGTGTTGGACTCAGATGCCAGAGGCAGAAACATGAACCTAGGGAACAGTAAAACATGGCTTGTGGTGCCAGAGTATAATGTTGTGATTTCAGATGTTTGCATATTGGGTTTTCTTAAAGCAAGGCACATTTTCAGCAGAACAGGGAGAGTTTTTCTTTCCCTGAAATGTCAGAGTTGTTTTGTGTGCCCTTTATTCATTTATTTAAAAATTGTTTAAATTGTAGTAAGAACATTTCACATGTAATCTGCCCTCTTAACAAATCTGTAAGTGTGCGCCAAAGTATTGATAACAATAGGCACAGTACTGTAGAGCAGATGTCCACAACTTACTCATCTTGCATTACTGAAACTGTATTCCCTTTAAATAGCAACTTCCCATTTCCCCTCCCTTTGCCCCTGACAGCCATCATTCCACTCAGCTTCTGTGAATTTGACTATTTTAGATCCCTCCCATGAGTGGGATCATGCAGTATTTGTCCTTCTGTGACTAGCTTATTTCACTTAACATGATGTCCTCAATGTTTATTCATGTTGTCACGAATTATAGGATATTCTTCTTTGTTAGGGTTGAATGACATACCCTGTGCCCTTTAGACACGCAGTGAATGCTCTGGCCTGTCTTTCAGTCCCACCCAACCCAACTGCACCTTCTCCTGTCTTGTCAGTTCTCTAGTTCCCCACACGCCTTCCCAGCCCCCATCGACTGGGGGCACACAAACAAAATGAAACGGAGTCACAGAAGCCACGGAACAGCTGAAGCCTGAGGAGGAACTTGCTGGAGTGTCTAATCCCACAGTTGTATGGTGCTTGTCTGCCGCCTTCCGGCCCTGTCCAGAGGGTCATTACTATATCTGATTATCAGTGTTCCAGAGGCCACCTTATAAGTCAGTTCTGAGAGGTTTTTCCCAGAAAAACCCTTCCCTCTCCCTGCAGAAACACCTCTGGAATGGGGATTGGGCTTAACCCCCCACCCCTTGTTCATTCATGGTTTAACTTTGCTTATTCACGTGCTCTTGCTCCGGATAGCACAGGGGCAACCCGGCACGGCAGCACTGGTTTCTCTGGCATCATGAGCACAGAGGCAGAAGGCAGCATACGCTTTGTGAGGTTCCTGAAGCCCAGGGTTTGGAAACCCATTGAAATTCCATCCAAAATACTAGCTGAATTTTTCTAATCCGAAACCTCAATACTCATAGAGCCCACGTGTTGTGTGTGGTGAGTTAAGTGGTAATTGAGGTTTGCAGATTTTTATGTGATTTATTCTGGTTTTCTTCCAATGGCCTGTGAGCTAAAACTTAAATACAGCTTCATTGTAGTTGCTCCTTCCTGTTTAGAGAGACTGGCATAATATTTTGTCTTCTGGGCTCAAATAACCATGTAATTACTCTATAATCATATAGTAATTAGCATGTACTATATGCATTTATTACATAATTATATTCCTGAAGGATGGTATGGCAATTATACTTGCATTCAGCATATCATTTTATATACTGTCTCATGAACAAGTATATAATTTGTTGCTTTTTTTCTTTTATCCTAATTTCAGTTTACCAACCAGGAGCTGGAAGCTAACTCTCCTGTTGCCTTGTTTGCATATAGCCGGGCAGGTGTTTGCAATCTTTTGGCCTCACGCAGAACCTCCTAATTAGACATCTAAGGGAATACTAGAGGGCTTATGTGCTGCAGTGGACTCCCAGCATTTGCACTCCTAACGCTTTCTCCTTGTCATGAAGTCATTAAGTTATTAGCTTCAAAACTCATTAAGTTCTAGAGCCGCCCACGTTGCCAGGTCAATGGCAAGATCTCAATTAAAACAGAGTCTTCATGGGCAGACCTGGAGCCGAGCACTGTGCCCATGCCTGTCTTTCTCTGCTTTTGCAGTGGAGCACATTCCCAAGGGGAACAACTGCCTGGACGCGGCCAAGGCCTGCAACCTCGACGACACCTGCAAGAAGTACAGGTCGGCGTACATCACCCCCTGTACCACCAGCATGTCCAACGAAGTCTGCAACCGCCGCAAGTGCCACAAGGCCCTCCGGCAGTTCTTCGACAAGGTCCCGGCCAAGCACAGCTACGGCATGCTCTTCTGCTCCTGCCGGGACATCGCATGCACGGAGCGGAGGCGACAGACCATCGTGCCCGTGTGTTCCTATGAAGAGAGGGAGAAGCCCAACTGTTTGAATCTGCAGGACTCCTGCAAGACGAATTACATCTGCAGGTAAGCACGCCACAGCCGCGTGATTAATGAGGTGGCAAGGAGGGCCTTGGCGGCTGCTTCATCTGCCAAGCCCTGGTTTTCTGTGTTTCTACCAGGGTAGGGGAGGGCGGGGAGGCCAGTTTGTGTGAGTGAATTGGGAAGAATCTGACCTCTGTGTCTGACACATGGTTCTTCAGAAGCTGTTTTAGGCTCTCATACTGGGGAAGGTTCCTGCCTTAACCAAGGTAATACTCTGAGCGGTGCTGCAATGAGGTAAAACACTACTGCATTTCCCAGGCACCTCTCAGGTGAGAGGATCACCTGGGGCGAGCTGACCTGAGGCCCAGACCTCAAGTCCTGAGGGGCTACCGGAGGTTGCCAGGGGCTAAGTCAGAAGAGGAGTTAGCTGGAGCTATGGAGGCTCTTGACCTTCAGGGGGTGAAAACTGGAAGAGACCAGTGAGAGGGATTAACAGTGCCCAGCCCTGGTGAGGAGACCTGTGAGAAGGCCTGGGGCTGTTCTGGGCCATTCTGTGGCTGTGAAGAGTGGGCAGCTTCCCACTCAGCTCTTTTCCCAAATCTCAGCCCCCATCAGAAACCCTGCCTCGCCAGGACTACGTTGTTGAAAACATTCATTTCCTTTCTGGTTTTGGCCATTTCTGGATTTATTTTAATTTCTGAAGGAGTCCATGGACACATTGTCTGTGTAAGAAAAAAAAAAGCAATATGGAAATTGAATTAGGTAGAGTGAAAAGAGGAAGTAGCCCTTCACTCTGCTCCAACTTGCCCCCAAGCCTCAAGCGATCACTATTAACAATTTGACCTGTGTCCTTCTAGAACTTAGGGTTGAATTCAGTTGCTGATGGAAGCAAGTAGACTTGGATGAGCAGAAACTTGAGTCTTTGTAGACTGAAGCTGTGCTGAGGCATCCTTCAGAAGAGTAGGGCTGGATCCTGGGCTGGGGATTCGGGCGGGGCATCATATTGGACAACATCTGTGCTTTGTACCCAGGGGTGGCCAGGAGCCTTCAGTGCCATCTTTAACAAAAGCCTGTGCTGTCAACGTATGTTAAACAGGTGGACAAGTAGATGAGCGAGTCACTACGTGCTTGTTTTCTTATAGGCTTCCCATTTCTAAAGAGCTCAGAGCAGGAAAATATGTCCAAGATGTTGAAGATTCTGGTTAGCTGAGTTTCTGGTCAATTTGGCTTTTATTCTAGTAGACTGGGGTCCCATTCTTTCCTTGAACCAGCTCTAATAATGACCAAAGAGAAGTGAAATGCCTTGTTATCAGTGTAACACTCTCACGCAGATTTTCTGATTTTCTGGGAGTAATGTCCCTCCACTGTCTTTTTCCAAATAGGAAGCAGGTGACCTGCTGTATGGGAAGGACACGGGTGACCAAGCATCATGTGAACAGAGTTTGCATCTTGGGAGGAGGCAGGTGTTCCAACAGTGCAACTTCAGGGACTCTTCCTCAGTACCAAGCCCCTGGTGCATTGCGGCCCTCTTAGCTGTGGGCTAGGAGCAGATACGGGTGTGCTGGAAGGTCCTGGGGGAGAGGCAGGCCCTCGAGCCAGTAACTGAGGAAGCCAGTCGGTCAGGGATCACGGCACCTCCTGCGAAGATGGGTGAGGTGGACATGGCTGAGGAGCAGGACAGGAAGAAGACGCTTGGGAGCTTTGCTCGGGGTGCTGGGATGGGAAAGGACAGAGATTCTGAAGATCCCTGGATCTGAAACCCAAATTCCTGGGCCCCATTAGCCACTGAGCAGAAAGGATCCCCCTTTCACGAGCAGGACTGAGTTTCTAGGGTCTCTCTTACCTTAAAGCCAGATGGCTCCTCCCTGTCTCTACAATAAGATGTCATCCTGTCTACTGACGGCTGTTGGTCCTGCCTCAAGATGGGGAGCTGTACGGGACACACACGAGTGGAGGAGGAGCCCTCTGTCCGTGGAACAGCAGCTGGGAGGTGGGAGAGGCAGTGGTGGTGACCGAGCCTTTTGCTTCTCTCCTCCTAGCTTTATGTCACACATGAGCGCCAGGGAGGGTCTGGGACTCCTCCTATGCTGGTGGAAAGCCCGTGCTGAGCAGATAACTTGCATTCCCTGACCTGCTCTTCTAAAAAGAGAGACTCCTTGGAGGGCTGGTGTGAATTCCTTAGACCAGGTGGCTTTCCTACTAAGCGGTAGCGAGACTAGCTGGGAGTCAGGAAGTTGGGGGCTCTCAGGCAGGTGACAGGAGGAACCAGATGGTTTAGGGTACCGTACGGCGCCTCAGACTGAGGCTTCCCAGGTAGGAAGGACAGCTTCCAGGAACTTTGAGACACCCCCAATGGCAGGGAGTGGCCTGATCTGATGGGGCAGAAATGTACATGGGCGGCAGACAGCCCTGGCCTAGTCCCTGACTGTGCCCGACCATAGCAAGGTCAGGTGCGGGTGGATGGCAGCCACTGTGCAACGGGGTGAAGGCTTGCTGGGGGGAAGGTGGGCCTGGAAGCAGTGTTTGTGCTGGTGTCACGTTTCTGGCTCTGGGGAGAACCCGGAGGCTGTTTGGGAATCAGATCTAGGCTGTCCTGAGGCCCTACCAAGTGGAATTTGTCTCAGTGTGATTGATGGGTTTTGTACCCTGTCTTGAGTCTTTCTTGGGCGGGTGAATCAGTGACTTCCCCTGGTGTTGCCCATTGTTAAGTTATTTAGCCCATAATTTCTTTCCAGAGCCCGGACTTATTACTCATGATTACCCCTCCCTGTCAGATGTGGTAAATGTAGTTCGAGCTGCTAGGTTGGCTAGCGGTGTTTTCTTTCATCAGATTTTATTAATCTTGTCTTTAATGTTATGCCTTTTCCCCCATCCCTTCTCAGTGCATCTCGGTGAGGCTGTGTTGTTACTGCCCCGAGCAGCAGCTGGTACTAGCTGGACCTGGGGGTTCTGCGGGGCTCACATCACAGTTGCTCTAACCCTCACCCCATCCCTGATGTGGTGACTTACGGCCTCATTTGAATAGCCACCAAGGGAGGGGGTGGCAAGAGGGAAAATTGCTTCCTAAAAATCATATTCTTCGAAAACTTACACCTTCAAATGCTCCATTGTAACATCAGCAACTATCAAAGAGCTGCTCAAGCTCATTATAATTTCCTTGAACTTAATGTTTGCCAATTCAGGCCTTACAGCTTTCCTTCCCCAGGGCCCAAAGGTGCCTCTGCACAAAACCTGTCTCTCTTCCGCCTTCAGATGAGAAGGAACAAGAGATTTTCCTTGACGTTTTTTCCTTTTTCCCTTTCCCTTTTAGGGAAGCTGACAGGTTGCTTTCCTCTTGGGGTGGTTGGGGAGAGTCAGAGTTTGACTGTTAGGGCCTCCAAGCTTATCTACAGAAAAGCAAACACAGAGGTATTATTAGAAGGGTGTGATGAAATTTAAAAAGCTCTCATTCCTCCCCTGAAGCAGTGTCTCCCCTGCCAGTTTTCCTCTAGCTGCTTTTCTTAGGGCCTGGAAGGATGTCGGGACTGAGTTTGGCGAAATGGAAGCATACCCTTTATTCCTGGTGCAAATTGTTATATATATGCATAATTTAAACTTACACCTTACCTCCTTTCTCCCAAACTCTGACATTCACGATAAGCTCAGCACTTGAGCATAGGCTCAGGGTGCCACAGATACCTCTCTTGATTTTGTAATTTATCTCTCAGCTGCCTCAGCTATTCTTCATTACCGGGAGGTCCAGAACCTTCCCCGACCCCAGCATGCACCTCCTGTTTTCATCTAAGTGTTACAGCAAGTATTACAGCGAGTGGTCCCGAAGACAAACCGAGCGGCACACAGAGAGCCAGCAGGCTCAGAGGGGTCTCGCCACCAAATTCTAAGCCCCATCTACCCAATTTTTGCCACTTCTATTAAGTTGAGGTGGTCCGAGGGGTGGGATATCAGGTGGCCAATGCCTGCCAGGTAATAGGTTAGTTGATGTGTCAGGTAATAGGTTAATATTATGTTGATGCACCAGGTAATAGGGTAATTGATGCACCAGGTAATAGGTTTAGTGTTATGTTGATGTGCCAGGTAATAGATTAGTTGATGGGCCAGGTAATAGGTTAGTATTACGTTGATGTGGGTCTTCTATGAGGGGTGGGGGTCTCAGGTGGCTGATGTGCCAAGTAATAGATGGGGGTTTTCCTTATCATAAGGATCACAGAGCCATGCTGAGAAGCCCAAGCCCACTGGCCTTGTGGCTTTGGCTACTGCCACATGGTGTTGCTGTTGAGAGCAGTCCAGGGCGTGCTTGGTGGTTTGGTGGCCTTGCCCTCCTCGGCCATTCTGCACGTGCAAGAGAAGGCTGCATCCTTGGACGCCGGAGGAACAACCCCTAGTTCCTACTTACACGTGCAGCCGTTGTTTCCCAAAGCATGGCAGTTTGCCCTGGTGGGCTGCATCCTCAGGGGTTCCGGCCAGAGCCAGCCCTCCACCTTGAACGCCAGCAGCCAGGCTCTCCCTCTCCTGCCAGGGTGTTCCTAGGTGGAATTGAATGTTGCATTTGCATTCTTTCTGGCCCCCAGTGCTGGGTCAAGAATATCTCACTCCTTCTAGAAAGATTCTGATAATGCTAAACCTCAAAAGGGAATGGGAGGGGTGTGAGGGAAAAAAACTTACCTTTCCAGTACAATGTACTCTGGCGATGGGCACATGAAAAGCCCTGACTTCAGCATTATACAATTCATCCACGTAACAAAAACATTTGGACCGCCTTCGTATTTTGAGATATATACATACATAAAGGGAGAGGGTTGGAGGTTCTGTCTCCAAGGCTCTTTTGGCCCTGCTGAAGATACACTTGTTTCTCCTTGTGTCCAGCAGCCTGTCCCCATGATCTCCAAGAGTGGTAGCTTTGATCAAGTCACCGAGTACATGGTTCTACCATTACTCAAGGACTGAAGATCCTATAATTGTATCCTGGAGGCCTGGGGGATTTTTAGCAGAACCCAGGTCGTCTCCCTTGGCACAGCTCAGAACAGCACATGCAATTTCCAAAA